GATCTGGAATGGCTCTGTGTCTCATTTGAACCATCCAATAGAAATGATTCTGTATTTCGCCTCATTTGAAAGACTCTGTGTTTCACCTCATTTGAATAACTCTGTACTTCGCCTCATTTGAATAACCCTGTATAGCGCCTCATTTACATTGACCAATGAGAATAGCTCTGTACAATGTCTCATTAGAATTATCCAATAGAATCCCTGCACCTAGCTTGCGCCTTTTTCCCTATATAAGGACCCCTTTCCCTTGGCTCGGCGTGCTTAGCCACACAGAAGCTAAGTCACCCCGGGTACCCTCGTCTCTAGTAAAACCTCTTGCGGTTTTGCATCCAAGTCTGTGGTCTCGTTGATTCCTGGGTGCGGGTCTCCTTCTACGAAAGTACCTCTTCGGGGGTCTTTCACACTGAGAACATTAGCAGCAGTGGAGAGGAGCCAGCCAGAGCCTAGAAGACAAGCTCTGTGTGCTATAGAAGGCAGAGCCAGAGACGTGATCCAAGTCCTTTGGAGGAGTCTGGAAGATGGTGAGTGAATGGTTTTGCTTGGTTCAGATTGTGACAGTGCCCTGGTTCTTCCCCTTTGAAGAAAGTATTTAATTTTAATTTGTAAAGGAGCCCGCTGATGAAAGACTCGAACTTTCAAAGGAAATTAGATATTGAAGTAGAATGGTGCTGCCAGGAGCAGACATATCTCACTGTCATGAAAAGTCTTATACTACTGAAACATCTTAAGTCCATACTCAGGGAAGCTTGTTACAGGATATTTTAAAGAGACTGGAACCTTAATGTGTTTGAATTTGTTGTAAAGACTGGGAATTTGATCGGGCGTTGGTAGTGCACACCTTTAATCCCAGCACATGGGAGGCAGAAGCAGGCGGATCTCTGAGTTTGAGGCCAGCCTGGTCTCCAGAGTGAGTGCCAGGATAGTGCTACACAGAGAAACCCTGTCTCAAAATAAATAAATAAATAAATAAATAAATAAATAAATAAATAAGACTGAGAATTTTGAAGCTTTTGTTTGTTTGTTTTTTAGGAAGTTCACCATTTTTGTTATGTTCTAAAAAAAATGTATGGTAGAACAAACAATTAATGAAGCTATTCCATGTCTACACCACTATCTAGTTCATATTAATTTTACTCTTCAAACAGGAAGGAGGTGGCAATTTAGGGAACAAGAGAAAACCAAAAATTCTCTATAATTCTTGTATGTGTGTAAGCTGTTCTCCCAGAGACAGCTTCGTTACATCTGTGCAGGAATTCAGTTGTATATGAAGTTGAAGTGCTTGGCAGCCGAGGAAGGCTCGAAGTGATGGTCCATATCCCCCTGCATTGTCCCACATTTCAAACAATGGTGCAGCTGCCAGCTTGTAATTTTTCCGGACTGCAAGCAAACCAGGGTTTCTCTTGAAGCTGAACTAGAAACAACTTCTTGTGTCCCTTAGGCTGTGTAATATGTGCAGGAACATATGGATACTGAGGAGGTTCAAATTTTGGCCTCCACCAGTTAGCAGCGCAGTCACCGATGACCCAGCCTTGCAGGACTCCATCTTGATGACCCAGTATCTCTGTCATTAAGCATTTTAGTCCTTCAGCTTTATCTTCTCCTGGGTTAAGTTCACCACCAGTCAATGTGAAGAAAGTTGTTCCCAGCTATAGCAGTAACACATGGGGTAGCCAGTGCTCGTGTACAATCAGAACCCCTTCTACAGTCCTTCTCATCCCCACCTCCTGCATGCTGAAATCTGGCTGCAACACAACTGTCCTTCTCATAGAGGGCTCTTTTGTACCAAAGGTATAATTGGTAAGCGGGTACAGGTTAATGGTGTGCTCCAGGGTGAGGGGCTTGGTCTGCTGGATGTACTTATTGCTGAACTGGTTGAAAGCCCAGGGTAAGCCCATCTTCTAGTGATTCAGCAGTGCCACAGACATACTTAAGAGCACGGACACTGGTGGCATGCAGAAAGCAGGACCAACAGAGAAGTCTGAAGGGCCAGTTACCTGCATCGGGCTAATCAGCCACCACCGGCTATTAACAGTCGAGAGCAAGAAACTGAAGTTATTTATGATTTTAATGTGAGATCTTGGGAATGAATATGAAAGGAATGATTGTGGCTTAATGGTGATGTGTTTGTGTGTCAAAGTTGACGAGGGGTCCATTGTCCTGGCTAGTTTTGTGTGTCCACTTGACACAAGCTAGAGGCATCAGAGAAAGGAGCCTCAGTTGAGGAAATGCCTCCATGAGATCCAGCTGTACGGCATTTTCTCAATTAGTGATCAGTGGGCCCAAGAAAGCAGACTGAGCTAGCCATGAAGAACAAGTGGTAAGTGGCACCCCTCCATGGCCTCTGCATCAGCTCCTGCCTCCAGGTTCCTGCCTTGCCTAAGTTCCTGTCCTGACTTCCTTCAGCAATGGACTAAGATCTGGAAGTGTAAGCTGAATAAGCCCTTTCCTCCCCAACCTGCTTTTTGGTCATGGTGTTTCATTGAAGCACTAGAAACCCTAAGACAGACACCTGTTTTTAAATGCTGTAGTGAGTGTGCAAGTCTGCACATTGGGCATTCTGCACACTGCTGACAACATGTCAGACGTCAAACCTTTGAGAAATGGTAGCTGCTTCCTCTCATACACCCACTGTCCTTTTCACCTTCCAATTTCTCCACATGGCTAAAGCTTAATATAGTTTCCAACAGAAATAAACCAGCAGAGCAAGCCTGCCACCAGTCCACTTTATATGTGCTTACAACTGGGCCTGTTTTAGTCAAAGAACTGCCTCTGGGTTTCTTTATGCTCATCTCTCTCAGAGTGCGTGGTTTGTGGCTCTGTTTACAAGGTGCATTAAATGTGCTGTTGTGCCCATGAATAATGTTGGGGAGAATGTAACCACACCCTCGTTTCTTTTGAAGTGAAATAGCCAAAACCGAATTCCTCCTCAAGGAGTACATGAAATACGGATTTTTCCTGCTGAAGTTATCTCCAAAACACTGGCAAGCGCAGCAATCACAAAAACGAGCTCAGGCATCAAGGAGTAACCCCATTCTCCCAAGACTCTTAGACAGTAAGTCACGGATCTTAATTCAAGCTAAGCCAAAACCCCAGATTCTAGAGAGTTCTGCTCAAAGTTTGTTTCACAGAACTTAAAAATCAAAACTTGGACAAGGACCCCTCCTAATTTTTTTTTAAGATTTGCTTATTTTTATGTGGTGTTTTGCCTGATGTATGTCTGTGTGAAGGTGTTACATCCCCTGGAACTGGAGTCACAGACAGTTGTAAGTTGTCATGTGGGTGCTGAGAATTGAACCCACATCCTCTGGAAAAACAGCCAGAGCTCTTAACTGCTTAGTCATCTCTCCAGCCCCCCCTTACTTTTATTATCATATGTAAAGATTTATTTATTATATAGTGTTCTGCCTACATGTATGTCTGCAGGCCAGAAGAGGACACCAGATCTCATTAGAGTTGTGAGATCATGTGGTTGCTGGGAATTGAACTCTGGTCCTCTGGAAGAGCAACTAGTTCTCTTAACCTCTGAGCCATCTCTCCAAACTTTTTGTCATATGTTATTAATTTGGAAACTCAAGTTAGCTTCAGATAAAGAACAACAAAAATAAACACATGAACACATAGAAAATCATTATTTGTAGATGATATAATGGTTTCTCAAAAACTATTTGGTATTATTAAAGGCCTCTATAGTAGTGTCAATAGATAGAAAGTCAATTATATTTTATTACCCTAATATACTAACTGGAATAAACTAAATTTACTGAAATGGTACAGATACTTTGAAAGCAGCAAAACAGCTTTAATGTGTGTGACCTGGAGATTTGGCAAATAGAAGAATTGATATTCTAAGTTACCAATTTTCTTGAAATAAATGTGTATTTGGCAAAATTATAGTAAAAATGTCACCACCAAGGGATTTTCAGGGAGTTGAGTTTCAGAGCAGAGAGGGCTTTGTACCAAGAGCCTGAGGCTCACCCAGAAAGATAAACCCTTTTGACTTAAGAAGGTATTGGGGGGGGGAGGCTGGAGAGATGGCTCAGAGGTTAAGAGCACCAACTGCTCTTCCAGAGGTCCTGAGTTCAATTCCCAGCAACCACACAGTGGCTCACAACCATTTGTTATGAGATCTGGTGCCCTCTTCTGGTGTGCAGATATACATGGAAGCAGAATGTTGTATACATAATAAATAAAATCTAAAAACAAAAAGGAGGTAATGGGTGTGGGAGATCAATAATACTACTTTAAATGTTATGTATTTAAATATATTATAATTGTATATGCTAATGTGCCTCAGTAATTAGAATAAAGCTGTGCTGGTGTTAGGGTGTCAGTTAAGGAGCAGAGTTAGGGCCCATTATGTAAACACTTCATATCTGATCTAAGTAGAATCGCATCACAACAGAAGGTTTTCTTTCCTGCAACACTGGAGTAGCAAGAACAGGGTTCACTTCCTCCTGAAGAGAATCCTGAAATAGTGGATAGGCATTGGTCCCTGAGCACAGAGCAGTATTATGCCTAGGAGAGGGGAAAGAAATAAGGTAAGCACCAAGATTCTCAACTGCTCCCTGAAGCATTTCCAGGACAGGAAAGGAAGTCCAGAGGGAGCCCAGATGATCTGAACATTTACACTACAGAAATTGGCAAACTGAAAATCAGAATTCATTCTGCAGGGAGCTGGTTGTAAAGGGCATTGGTGATGGCACTTGATCAGAGCTCATTAAATGATGTTGAACAAGAGAAAAAAACTGGAATGAAAGCAGTGATGTTTTCATAGAGCAATTTAAGACTTAGTCGTTCTAGACTTCTAAATGGAGGATACTCAGGGCCTAGTAGGCCCCTCAGACGAATATCAATAGCTTCCATGAAAATTAGGAGCTATGATGGACTAATGTTGGAAATGGAGATCCCCTAAGCCCCAAACGGTCTGTTCTCATCTCTTCTCCCTATGTCAGAGAGCAGTCCTCACCATCTGCCAAATAAAATTGCAGATGACAGGCTCCCTATCCTGCATCTCCACAGAGGCATGGAAGCTTGGACAGTAACTCTGTCTTCACACTGAGGAAAAGCTCTCATTCTCAGGAATGAATCCCCCCTTCCACTTCTATCTCCCACACACTCACTCTTTCTCTTCTCTTTTCCATTTCTAGAATTTTCGTTAAGTTCAAGTAGAAAAGAGAACAGCGCCGAATCGGACAGCGTATCTTTCTCCGAAGACAAAAAAACGAGCCCAGGTGAGAGCCAAGGCCTATGACCATTCTAACCAGAGCCTCCAAGGTAAAGATGTGCTTACAAAGAAGCTCTGCTGGGAAGTGGGGGGGGAGGGGGGTGGTGCCCATATCACCCCTGATTCCCTGGGCCAGCCATTCTGTTCTTTGTGATGTTATTGCAAAGACATGTCCAAGTGGACAAGATCTCATCCTAAATGTTCCCCTAGATAGGTTCCCCCAATCCTTTGGTTCAAGTCTGCTTCTGTAATAACAATTCCTTACCCTAGCCTGAGTGTGACCAATTGAGGATGCTCTACCACAATGAACCATGAGCATTGCCCACTACCACCACACACCAGGGATTTAGACCCAGCGTTTTAACATTGTTTGACCTGAAAATCAACACTTAAAACCATCAGATTCCATGAAAATATCTGAATCTCCATGTTCCCTTGAAACCCACCAGACTTGACGTCCTGGCTTGAAGTTTCCTGTGGGACAGTTGTCTTCCCGGGGACAGTCTTTCCTGTTAAGTGATCTAGCTCACGCAAGTTACCATCCCTCCTGCACCTGGCCCCTGTGGTCATCTGAGTTTGTGATCTCTAATCCAGGCTGACTCTTGGGATCCCTTTCCCCACCTGATCTTGTCACTAAGCAGCAAGTATATTTTGGAGTTAAGGCAAAAGCACCAAGATTTGTCTGCCCAGAAATAACCATGCTGTGTGAGCCTGCTGCCTGTGCATTCAGCCAGATAGTTAGAAGTGTTTTGTGTGTTTTGTTTTGTTTTAACTTCTGAGCCAATTGGAGCCTACACCCAACATATTACTTTGCCCAGTTGGGGATCTGTGGTAGTGTGTAGGGACGGAGAGGAGGGGTGCGTCTCAGTGCTGTCTTCTGAAATGGTGAATGTGAGTGTTACTGAGTTTAAGTTGCACTTAAAATTGGTTTTAGATACTATTCTAAAAGGAAAACAGTGTGTGATGAGATATCTCATCTTTCCCCTTCCCTCCCCTCCCCTCCATTCACTCCATACTGAAGGCATGCAATGAACTTTAGGCACAGGTAGGGGTTAGCATTGAGGGCTTTCTGGGAAAGGCCCAGCCTGTAACCTCTGCCAGGTCACAGTGGGACTAGGTTTTGAAGAATGCATAAGAGCCTGCCAGGTAGAAGTGGCAAGGGTGAGGCCCACTGTGGATTCCAAGTGGAACAGGAGGGACAACGGTGAACTGTAAGGTGTTGGTTGGTTCTTGGCAGGTGGATGATGATTCTCAGGGCCAACACTGGCCCAGGCGTTAGTTTTGGGTGAGGGCTGGACTTGATCTTGATGAGTTCAGAGATGTGGAGCAGTAGGTGAGGCCCATGGCTGGAAGGTTGGTCTCTTCATGTTAAGAGTGGAAATGGGCATCACTTTTGTGTTCTCCTTAGTTCTTTTAAACCCTGTGATTAGAAATAGGGATCAGTTGTATAAGGAAAACAGAACCATTGCTTGCACTTCATTTTTGTCCCGCATCTGTGACTTACAGTAGCAGTCAAGTCCCACTCGGCCACTGTGTTTTCAGTCTGACACTTAGGCTTGGAGTGCCATTTCAGTTGAATGAAAAAGCTCCGTTTTCCATATGGTTGCCGTTTTGATAAACAAACCGTGTTTTTAAAAACAACAGGCATACAGTACCTCACATCAAGTGACAAGGGCTCATCTCTAATAGCACTCTCCTTTTCTTCTCCCATCACCCATCACTCACCTGGACATTCTGAACAGGACGGATATCGAGGAAATCTAATCTCGGCACAGATTCTAGGAAGACTTCCTTCTTCAAGTACGGTACAAACTTATTAAACTCTGATGGAAACCATGAATGGCTTTTTAGACAGTGACTCTTTTTAGCCTTTCCTTAACGCAGAGACCTCATCTCCAAGCCTGTTGCCACACACAGTGGAGTCAGTGGTGGCCAAGTCTGCACTCTCGAGGTGCCCCTGAATTCTGCCCTTTGAATAGCACCCCAATCACAGAAGCCACCAGATCCCAGAGCCTTGGGACTCCCCTTCTAGCTATTCTGCCAGCCTGTGCACCTGCAGTTCCAGCCTTCATTTACCTGCTACAGTGGGGACCATAAAGCATTTTTATTTTCTCTTGTTTCTTCCCCAACTTGATTGTTAATTCATCTCACCAATTGATCATTGTCAACCCTAGATATCCAATAGGTGCTTTGAGGAGATAAATGACTGTCTGGGTCAGACATCCTGGCCTTGAGGAAGGAAGGTTCTGAGCTAAGACTGCCCTAACCATGACAATCCCTGAGGGCCACTGGGACATTTGATGCTGATTCCAGGGATCCCTGGGGTCACCCCACTTCTGTGGCATTCAGTTGGCCCTTGCTATTTTTTTTATTAAAATTTCATTGTTAACTAGAAGGTCCCCTTTGACTCTTGACCCAGTTTCTTGCGACAGGAATCCTGTGCCAAACTGTAGTGCAGTGCTACAGCCAGGATATTGGTGTCGGCCCAATCAGGTGCAAAAAATGTTACCGCTAGATTTTTTATGTCTTTGTATAGCCACACCCACTTCCCTCTTCCCCTGGCAGCCACTAACCTGTCCATTTCTGATTATGTCATTTCAAGAGTGTGATATAAGTAGGATCATGCAGTATGTAACCTTTGGGTTTTAATAACTCCCATGATCCACCTATGTTAGACCGTGAGTAGTTGGTTCTTTCGTTGGGTAGCACTCTGTGATCTGAACATTGTATACTTGAACTGTTCATCTACTGAAGAATATCCACCTGATTTCCAGTTTGGGGCTTTCTAGTTTGGGGCTGTAATGAATAAAGCCGCCGTATGTTTTATTCATTCAACTTAATTTTTTTTTTTTTTTTTTTTTTTTGCCAGGCTGGGGAGCTGGCTCAGAGGTTAAGAACACTAGCTGGTCCAGCCAGAGGTTCTGAGTTCAAGTCCCATCAACCACATGGTGGCGGCTCACAACTATCTGTAATCAGATCTGGCGCCCTCTTCTGGCCTGCAGGCATACATGCAGGCAGAATACTGCATACATAATAAAACGTTTAAAAATATTTTACATATGAGGGCCTTTGGCCTGCACATTTGTTTGCCCCATGTGCATTCAAGATCCCCGAGGCCAGAAGAAGGCATTGCAACTGATGTTGGAGACAGTTGTGAGCCACCATGTGGGTGTTCTGCAAAAGCACAAGTACTAACTGCTGAGCCATCTCTTCAACTCCTTGTACAGCATTCTGTATGAAGACATCTTATTTCTCTGGATGAATGTCTAGAATGCAAAAGTGGGCTAGATGGTAGATGTCAGTTTGTTTCCACAGTGTCTGTACCATTTTACACTCCCACCAACAGTGCATATGACATGTAGTTTCTCAACAACTTCAGCCTTTGATCTATCGGGTGTGCTCTTGAGTGTGCACCGTCATGCATGCATGTTTTCAGTACCCATGAAGGTCAGAAGAGGGCAGTGGAGGGGGTGTACAGGGAGGGGGGTGTACGTGGAGGGGG